TGTGTGTCTTTATGTGTGTGTGTGTGTGTGTGTGTGTGTGTGTGTGTGTGTGTGTGTGTGTGTGTGTGCGCGTGTGCGCGATGGTCTCCTCTACCGGCGCGCTGCTCGTCTCTCGGCGCCCGCCCTCGCACACAGCGCCGGGAGTGCGTGTGCGTGTGGCGGCGCGGGGGAGGGGAGGGCGGGGGCAGGCGGGAGGCAATCGCCGCCGAGGTGAGGGAGCGCGCCGGGAGGACGCAGGGATGCGGACACCGGCCGTGGCCGCCTCCGCGCGCTGGGGTGGCCTCCGGCGGGGGGGGCGCTGGGGCCGCGGCGGCGCGGTGGGGGGCTGCCGGCGGGGCGGGGCCGCGCCGCGCCGCAGAGGGGAGGGGAGGGGGCGGCGGGCAGGGCGCGCCCCCCGCGCTGCGCCCTGTCACCCTCCCCGCGGGCGGGCGGGGAACTGCCGGCAAACTTTGTGCCCCGGGAAGTTTGCGGAGGAGAGCGGCGGTCTCCTCGCCCCGCCCGGCCCGGCCCGGCGGGCTGGAGCGGCAGGTCGGTACCCCGGTCAGCGCACGGCCACGCAGTATGCAATTTTTCACGCGCGTTCGCAGATCTCTAATGACTACCAACCCCTGCGCACGCTATAATTTTTTTTCAGACGCGTGAGGTGCTGCAGATTTCAGGCATATTTAGGTGAAATGGTGCCAGCTGAACCGTGGATGTTACTCAAGTGTCTCGGCACTCACTAGAAGTACTTTCCCAACATTTGCCCTTTGCAGGTGCCAGAGCCCAGGAGGTGCATGGCACCTGTCCGGGCAGGCCACATGGTACCCCGCGCCTGAACTGCCAACATTGAAACGCATCTCTTAACAAGTCACTGACGTACAAGTACTGCATGCAAACACACTACAGTTCCTTAAGAAATCCAGCAAACTATTAAAAAAAATTTTAAAAATCAACCAAGCCCACCTGCCTTCCCCGGAGATCTTGCAAGCACAAAAAAGCACCTATATTCACTGAATAAATTATGCATCGCAAGTTTTTCATTCAGCCCCTCTTGGTACTTCCAGAGCAAGCGTTGGTACTTACAGAGCCATTGCTGCAGCCTGGTGCTGCTAGCGTGGGCACTAAGCAGTTAAGAAATGGATGTTTCTGCCAAGAAAACAATTTTAACCGTTTGTAAATTACAGAAAAAGAAAGGAAAATTGCACTGTTTCATTGGTTTTATATGTAAGTAAATGAAGGATTTATGTGCAGACTGAAGTTTTATTTCCTTCTGCTCCAAGCTGAATTCAAGCTAGGGGTGCTCAACTCTACAGAATTACCCAAGGGAGAGCAATGCAGGAACCTTTTCCCAGGAGCAGCAAGATAAGGTGGATTTGAGCAGTGGAACTCGGCAAGGACCAGCAGCCTTGTGGCTAATGCTCCATTAAGTGAGACTGACTGGTACAGATGAGGGACAGTTTTGGTCAATCAGGTAGGTCGCAGACCTGCAAGAAGTCGTGCCCTTGGCATGTTATGGATTGGTACAATTTATTTGGAAGCAGTATAGTTTATCTAGCTAATTAGCTGCTTCTAACCATACGATATGCATTTTATAATACCCCCAAACATGGATTTACATAATAAAGCATAACCTCCCAACCATCCTTTATGACAGTTCTGCTGCCTTTTTCAAAGTCTTTTCTGTTTTGATACATTTTAACACAAACTTATTGGGGGGAGGGGAATACAAATAAGGGGAAATGGTGTTTCAGTAATGTCACAAAGTGACAAAAAAAAGGAGCTTTTCCTGTTGAGGTTCATTCCCTACCACTTTTCCCCCAAATTAGTTGCCAAAAGTCATATGCAATATTCCAAACACTGAGGATATTTTTCAAACACAGACTTCTCCTGAACTCCAAACTTCCTTTAATCACAACCTGTGTCTCACTTAAGCAATCCTTTCTGAGTTAATTTATTACTCCTGAAGGAGTTACATTTTTAATAAGCTAAAAGAGGAAAAGGGGAAAACTCTGATAATCTTTTCTCATGCATAAGGAAGACCATTTCATGTAATT